GGTTAATTGAATCTTTTTGCCGAAATGTTAAAATGCTCTCCTTCTGCGTTTGGGGTAAGTTGATATGAATTAATCAGACTCTGTGAAGTGTGCTGAGGAGTGTATGACCTATCTAGGTATGTGTGGGAGAGCAGTTCCACCAGATGTGAAAGTCAAATTAGTGTGGCTGCTCCCTGCAGCTGGGGTGAAGGTTTATCTGGGAAAGAGGCTGAATCTGTTGGCTAAAACAAGACTTTGGGTCTTATCCATGGTTTTCCATATCCTATGTCCTTTAATAATTAAGAGTTGGCTTGATATCAGTAATGTGGGAGCCTCAGAACTAATATGTGGGCGTTGGGGTGAATAACATTTTAATGCTTAATATTACCTAGAGATGACTATTGGGTCTGTAAAACTAGCCAGGAAATCTCATGAAAGAAGTTCCTGTGTTGATATATTGGCCCCCGTTTTATTGTATTTGGTGCAGTGATCCAATGAAAATAATAATTTTTACTTTTCTGGTATATTTGTGGGTTGAACCCAGAAGCTAAAGAACACAATACTGAAAAAGGACCAGGAGAAAAAGGAATTAATGAAATCTCCCCAAAGCACTGAGTGAAAAATGCCATCAGGACCATCTGCGGTCTGGCCTTCCCAGGGCCCTTCTGCTACACACAGAGTCCATCTCTTTGTTTTGGAGAACTCCATCTCTGTGAAACGTATTTTACTGTTTAAATAGAGATGGCACTACTCCCTGGCTGTAGTGTGGACTCAACTTCAACCAAAGAGAACACCACATCCTTCTGGGCATAGTCACTAGTTCTGGGTGGGCCCTTGACCGACACCAGATCAAATAGAGACAATCCTGAGCCTCTTGCTCAAATTGTCGGGAGACAGAGAATTTCTTTCGGCTGGATTGCTAAACTGGCACAGTGTATACCTAGAACTGCTGGAGGACATCTTGCTACCACAGAAGGAGAGCCTGCCAGAGAAGGAAGCCAACACAAAGGAAAGCAGGGCCAGGGATGGATAATTTCTGATGACACCGCGTGAGGATCTGGATCCAGCCATACTTGAAGCCAGAACTACTTGGATGTCCGTTATATGAACAAATAAAGTCTTTTTGTTGTTGTTGTTCAAGTGGGTGTGAGCTTCTAAAATCTCCAATAATTTAAAATCGAAGTATTTTACACCCCCAGATGAAGAATTTATCAATATGTACATTTTTAGCCTAGATAAATATAATGTCAGAATATTCTGTTAATTTTCATGGCGTTAAAAACAAAAAATAAATAAATCTCAGTGATGAGACTATTTTCCTATTGGCTTGTTTCCAAAATATGTCAGGATGAAAAGTCATGTTATTCTTTCTTTTTCTCCCAATGTGTTTCTGACAAACCACATGGTGTTCAGATAGCTGACATCCATGTGCAAATCGCCTGTTTGTCCAATCTTATTGGGTCCAGTGTATCTCTGTTTTGCAAAGACTAGGTGTCCCTTCTCCCTCTTTTGTCTTTGCTCTACATTTTACTTCTTATCTGAGGCTCTGTAGAAGCCAAGTTTCTCTTTTCAGATGAGCATCTCCCCACATTAACAGATGTATCACACTGTTCTTACAGATTGTCCTTACCCTCCAGGTCCCGAGGAAAAGAGAAGGCTTGGAAGGCTTATGTACATGTGTGGTGGCCATCCACACAGAGAGAAATGGGTCTGCTCAGACCACAAATGCAAATGGAGGTTGACTTTCGCTTTATGTTAGAGGGATCATTTTCCCCAGAGAGCAATCAGTGCCACCCATCCATTATGAAGAGCTATATTTTAGACCCTCATTGCGGGATTATAGAGTTGGTCTAATGCCAAGAGGGCATTGACGCTGGAATTTCCCACCTCCAAATGTCTAGCATTACATTGTAGGAAAACCATGCTCTATTGGCAAGAATTTATTTCATATTCTGACCAGTTTGCAATGGTCAGATGAGACTCAGCACTGGCCTGAGCATCCCTAGATTTAGGATTGAAAACTTAAAATGTCCGCTGGGGCCAGGCAGCTGGCAGAGCTGAATGAAGTGGCCGGGCTGGAGCCTGAGCTCTTACTTGCATGATTAAAGGGAGCTGCTACTGTTCACCCCAATTTGAAGGCATGTGCAGTGTGGGCCCTGTGCTGCTGGAGGTTCAATGCTTCAGTGCAGCTGGGAACCCAGAAGTCATCAGTCTGCAGCCTCTGACTTGATAATAAGCATCAGGGATTTGTGCCAGGTGGCTGGCTTTGGGGTTGTGTTTCAACCTAATTTAGTTCGCTTTGAACATAACCCAGTGCCATGATTTAGAGCATGGACTCTGGTGTCAGGCTGTTCTGGGTTTGTGGCCTGGCCTGAGACTTACTAATGTCATGACCTCAGCCAAAGAATTAATATCTTGGACATGAAGCTTCCACATTTGTAAACAGTGGCTGCAGTTTCCACATCTGACTAGTGTGGGGTTGGGGATGGCAGAGCTTGAGGTAAATGAGGCGATGCTCTCAAAGCTCCCCCACAGCAGTTATGGAAAAGTGTAAAGCTCTCTTACAGGCTGGGAAGTCTATCACCAGAGCTGACAGAAACCCATGTAAGACATTGTTTTTGCATTCTCCAGAAGGAGCCAGAGAGACAACACTGCATAGTGGCTAAGAATGATGCAAACCCCGCCCGGCCGGTGTGGCTCAGTGGTTGAGCATCAACCTATGAAGCAGGAGGTTACGGTTCGATTCCTGGTCAGGGCACATACCTGGGTTGCAGGCTCCACCCCCAGTGTGGAGCATGCTGGAGGCAACTGATCAATGATTCTCTCTCATCATGGATGTTTCTATCTCTCTCTTTTCCTTTCCCTTCCTATCTGGAATCAATAAACATATATTTTTTTTTTTAAAAAAAAGAGTGGTACAAATCTGGAGTCAAATCTTTCTCTCCCTTTCCAGCCAGGAGCCATTGACCTCAGTGTTCTCATCTGTAAAATGAAGGTTTCAGGGTGCCTATCCCACCAGATTCTGAGGAGGATTACGTGAGTTAACACGTGTAACTGAGCTAACATTCCTGAAACATTTAAAGCAGAGCCTGGCACCCAGTAACGACTCCAGGAGTGAAAGGTTGCAATACTATTGTTGCAGTACAGTTTTAACAGCTCTTGTGACTTGTCATTTGCGTAAGACTGTATACATTCCCTGGAGCTTGTGGTTTGCATTATGCTACCTTTAATAACACCCAGTGCAATTATTTTTTAACTTAAAAAGTTGGGAAAGTTTACTCACTGTTATAAGGACCACTTCAAATCTACAGTGAAAGGTACAAAAATGTAGAATATACAAAATGAATGCATTTATGTCAAGTTCTTTAAAAGCAGGTTTTACAAAACTGACTTAGAAAACAGTTGGGTAGATTAAAAAAAATAATCTGTTGAGAGTCTCTTTTGTGCAACACATATGGCGAGGCCTAGAAACAAAGCTAAAATAAGAAATGGGGAAGGTGAACACCTCTACTTCAAGCCAAGGTCATGTTCACACATGCCAGCATATGGTGGCGTGGGGGCATTTTCTGAGATCTTTTCTCCTCTCATGGATGACCTGGTAGTGCAGGTGTGTAGGGGTAAAGGTCGGCATTGAGTTCAGAAGCAATGCAGGTGTGGATAACCAGGCTGGCGTGGGAACACGCAGCCAGGACCCTCAGGGTCAATGGACAGTGGGGGAAGGGGACCTGGGCAGGGGGCACCAAGCCAAGGGAGTGAAATTTAGTCTCCAAAAGATTTCCATTGAACTTTGTGCGTATTTGAAAGAAGGCAAAACTAATGCCTTCTACCCAGGCTGGAAGCATGCATGTGTGCATGCATGGGCATGCAAATTCCTGGAGAGCATGCAGGAGTCTAGGGAGAAAGGGAGTGAATGGACTGCTCGAGTGAGGAGCAAGGGTAAGGTTCCATCCAGCGAGGGCCACAGGTGCCTGGAGAGGCGTGTTGCCAGCCCGAAAGTGACACTGAGGTCAGATGTGGCTGGGGGTCGGAAGGGGCTGAGCCAGGCTGTGGCAAGGCTTGTCCAGGCCTCCACAGCAACCCACAGCCCTGAAGGCTCATGAGAGGGGACCTCCATCTTTCCATGCATCACCAGGGATACCCCACCCCAACTCCCTTCTGCATCCAAGTCCAAGTCCAGGGCCACCCTGGACTGCCTGCTCCAGGAAGGAAGGGAGCCAGCTGAAATGAAGATGCTTTATTAACCAAAAAGGCATGGGAGTGATGGAATCAGGCTGAGAGGTGATTAAAGGAGGTGCTTTCCAGCTGGAAAAGGGGGCGGGAGGTTGTCCACAAAGCAACTGGTAGCAGTTATTTGAAAAGTAAAAGCAATTCATGTACTCATCCCCCTGTTGTCCATGTCCATTGGTTTGGCTTGTGTGCATGCATACAAGTCCTTTGGTTGATCTCTTCCCCTTGCCCCCTCCTTCCCCCACTTTCCCTCTGGGGATTGATAGTCTGATCGCTGTTTCTCTGTCTTTGGATCTGTCCCTGTTCATCAGTCTATGTTGTTCTCTGTGATCCACGAATGAGTGAGATCATGTGGCATTTATCTTTCTCTGACTGGCTAATTTCACTTGGCATGGTGCTCTCCAGTTCCGTCCATGCTGTTGCAAATGGCAAGAGTTCCTTCTTTTTTACCGCAGCATAGTATTCCTTTGTGTAGATGTACCACAGTTTTGTGTGTTTTTTTCTGCATTTCTGTGAAATGTCCCCCCCACCTCCCATAGGCATATCCCTGGAGGCATCGCCCTACAGAAAGCGGATCAGTGACTGCCTGGGGCTAGGGTGGGAGGACAGGGCGTGGCACTGGGAAAGGGAGGCGACTGTTAATAGTATGGATTTAAAGTCCTACAATTGGCTCCTTTCTGAGGGGGCGTGGCTAGGCCCTGGGGGGCGTGGCTGGATCTAGGGCGGGACCAGCCAGCTTAAAACCCTGCGGAGGGGCGGAAGTTCTCACTGTGGTGGCTGTTACACGTGGAGGCATGGAGGTGTGCGCTTGCCTCTGCAGCTTGGGCTCTTCGCCGGGATGTCGGTGTCTTCAGCAGTGCCAGCGCCCAGCTGAGAAGGCAGCGGCCCCAGCAGAAAAGCACCTCGAGGTGAACAGGGCAGCGCGGTGCTGTGCGGGGAGTGGAGGAATCGCGAGCCCCATGCCGGCCCCGCCCGCCCCGCGCTGCTCGCTGCAGGACCTGCCGGTGGAGATGCTGGTGGAGATCTTCGCCTCGCTCCCCGGCACCGACCTGCCCAGCCTGGCCCAGGCCTGCACCACATTCCACCACATCCTGCACATCGACAGCATCTGGAGACGGCGCTGCCGGGAGGAGTATGGCGTTCGTGAAACCTTGCAGGGCCTGGAGATGATCGGTATGTCTTATCGAGAAGTCTATACGAAGCTGTTCCACCCACACAGACACATTTTGGGATTGTGGCAGCTAGATCATGGCTATAGAAGACTGCTGAATGTCGCGGTGGACGGCTTAGGCATTACTGGTTGGACGTGCAGGCCTTCCCGTAACCCCCAGGTGGATGGGCCAATGCAATCCGAGCCGTCGTTCAGAATTCGCCTGACGGAGCGGAAATCAGCCACGGTGGAGTGCGTGGAAGGCCGCCACAGCAGGCCCCACAACCTCCACATGCAGATTCAGAAGGACAGGTTCAGCCTCAAGACAGACCACCGAAAGGACTCACCAACGCGGCCTTGGGACGCATGGGGGCGGTGGCTGGTGCATGAGGACAGACAGCCATGTGACTGCCTGACCTACCGCCGCCTCTACCTCCCGCCGAGCCACCCGGACGACCTCATCAGGCCAGGCCTCTTCCAAGGCAAATACGATGAATACGGCCTAACGACTGCCATGCTCAGCTTCCATGGGAAGTATGCCCGGGTCACCGATATCACGGGAGTCTCCAAGAAGACGTTAGAGATCCACCTCAGGCGCCGAATCCAGCTGCCAGATGGCGGGTTCTTCCGCAACTTCAACGAGCTCTCCCGCGTGGTCCAGGAGATTGAGGAGCAGGTGATCCGGGAGCAGCAGCAAGAAGACGGGACTGAGGAAAGCGAGGGCCATGGCTGGCAGAGCCCTACCCAGCCCAGCGTTGGGGAGTCCGGGGCTGCAGCTTCGGAGGAGCAGCCTGTCCCGTTTGTTCTGCCTGTGGGCGTGCGCTCAAGAGAAGAGAACTACCCCGAAACCTGCAGGATGTGTTTCTATGGCGTGGACACTGTTACTGTTACCTTATCTGACTTCGCCTACCCCAGGCGCCACCCTGGAGTCTTCATCCTGTTCGATGAGAACCACTTCGGGTTCATCTGTCTGGCGACGGAATACTTCATCCTGTACAGCAGAGTCCAGAACACCTTCCAGAATGTGGAGGCACCATCCCCGCAGGCCTTCCTGGAGATGCTCAAGAACATTCAGCCCAAGACCCCCTGGGAGGTAGAAATGAACCTTAGACCAGTATTCTCAACCTTCCTAATGCTGTGACCCTTTAATACAGTTCCCCATGTTGTGGTAACCCCCAATTTCATTGTTACAAATTGAACATAATTAAAGCATAGTGATTAATCACACACAAAAAATAAAGACATCTTAGGTAATAATAAAAAAAATTAACAACAATAAAAAAAAAAACAACAACAAAAAACACACAAAAAAACAACAACAATTCATGTAGTATATGCACCTCTGATGGATTAAGAATCTTCATTCAATAGTCACACATGCACAGGGTGTGAAACCCGAGGCTGTGTTTGCAACTCAGCTGGAGTGGGAGGTGTCAGAGAGTGGGGTTCAGTTGGGGGGTGGCCTCAGGAGGGTATAATCATTAACTTCTCTGTCACTCCTTTTTCTTTTAATGTGAGGATTCCAGTAACAGCTACATCCTAGAATTCTGTTTTGAGGCAAAAGAGGCAATTTCTTTAAGTGAAAGAAAGTCCTTTCTGAGCAAGTATTGTATAATCATTAGCTATTAATAAATGAATTTAAAATTCATTGCTCTATGTGCTGCCTGATTCTTCTCATGATTTAAGGTATAACTGCTTGAAATGGAGAGTTGGATATTTAGCTTAATTTGGTAACTATGTATTGAATGCTTCATTGTAAGCAGCTGTCTGTATGACTTGATCAGTGTGGACAGCTGGGCTGAATAGCATGAACTTCCTACATGATTATGTCAATGGCTTTTGGGAGGTTTGGGGATATATTATTGACACATTTTCTTCAACTGTCCACTTCATTTTCTCCATGATTGCCTGTTGAGCTTCCTGGTTTTTTTTTTTTCTTTCTTTTTTTTACTATGGAAAACATCTGTGTTATAAGGAATAATTGTTAACTGACTTTGTTTTTGTGTTATTTCCTATACCTAATTCATTCTTTGGAACTGTAATTGAACTCTATTAAATGGTTTAATGTGGGGTTTCATAGTTCAAGGTAAGACTAACTTTATCTGTGGGGGGAATATAATTTTATTATTTAATTTATTTCAGGTCAGATTATTTTCAAATAGTTGAAAAAAGATAGATTAAATCCTATATAATAAAACGCTAATATGCAAATAGACCAAATGGCAGAACAACCAGTCACTATGAAGTGCGGTGACCACCAGGGGGCGTGTGCGGAACATGGTGGGTATAGGCAGCAGGTGGCAGAGTGCTGAACATGGTAGGCATCGGCCATGGCGGGATGGTGGAGCAGGTGAGTGTGGGCGCCAGACCAAGGTGGGGCGCCAGTCACTGTCATCGGGGTGAGCCTCAGTGGTTACTGAAAATTCTTTGCTCCCATGTACCACGGTCCCACCCTGTGCTCACACCCGCCAGCACTGGAGCCACCGCTTGCACCTGCCACTGGCACCGGCCCCGATCGCTTGGCGCCGTCAGCAGGTGCAAGCAGCAGCTGCTGGCCCTGATCACCCCTCAGGGCTTCTCCACCTCTCCCTGCTCCTGAGGGGTGATCAGGGCCGGCAGCCACGGCTCGCACCCCCTGCCAGCGATGGCCCTGCTGGCACCCGGTGCTGGTCCCAATCACTTGGCGCCATCAGTGGGTGCGAGCAGCAGCTGCCAGCCCTGATTGCCCCTCAGGGCTTCTCCACCACCCCCTGCTCTTGAGGGGTGATAGAGTGGGTGGCACCGTCCGTGCGTGGGAGCAGTGTTGTGGGAGCGGGACTGCCTGCAGACAGGAGACCAGAGGCTGAGACCCACCCCTGTGCCCATAACAGCCTTGAGGCCCACAGTTCCTTTCAAGGTGCATGAATTTGTGCACTGGGCCCCTAGTATGTACATAAACTTAAGAATTCTAAAGAGAGAAAAATCCTTCTCCAAACAACTATATGAATGAGTTGAAGGAAGAGAAAGCCCAAAGTTGTATTTCAAGAAAAAGAAATATACTTTAAGTAGAGTAATTTATAATTTAAAGATCTGACCCTGTAGCTTGATTCTACATTATAATCTCATTACAATTAATCCAAAGAGCCATTTTCTCCCTTATTGGAAGTCCAATTGTAGGTATGGTCTCTGCATAGTTTTAATAGTATAATCATGTACTGTCTCTTATTACTTAAATTTATTGCCTAAATACCATTTTAACAAGAAATGGTAGGCTTATGTTAATAAGTCTTTACAGCGGTGAGGTTGTGTGGCTCATTTTTATGTTCCCCCACCCAGTGTCTTTCCAGAGCTGAGTTCAAAGTCATTGCATAATGTCCAGATGCTTTTGTTGTACTGTAATTTGTTTCTATTGGGCCAGCTACTGTTATCCCTAATTTAGCTAAACAGTCCATTGTTAATTTGTACTTTTTGGTAAATTTAAACCTCTTATAAATTACCTTAGTTATCAGGCTTCTGTAACAATTTCCAGGGGGTTAGCACTTCTCTTATTTAATCTGTGTAAGATTAAAAGAATACAGTCTCTTGGAGATATTTTCAATTGATACTCAGCGTGATTGACTTTGAAGAAATAAAGCTGAGGAACTGTCTGGCAGTGATACCCAGCCAACACACCAGTTGTCATTTGCTTTGAGTTTTGGTTTGAGGCTCATAGAAAACCATCTCCTTCCAGAGAGCCATCTTGGATGATAGTTAGTCTCTGTTTTCAGTGTATGGAAGCGGCAGGGGTTAAGAATGATGCTTCTTTCATCACTGATCACTTTTGGTGACATCAAAGGATTAAAGGAAGTGTTTTTTTTTCCTGGGTCTCTCACCTACTTCATTTGTCCCTTCCTCTTCACTCTCCATAAAGCTTATCTTGGAAGCCAGGCACCATTTGCCATGTGACAGTAAGGTGTGTGTAATACATGCTCTGATGGCTTCGTGTTTATAACCCAAATACATGGAGCAATCACTGAGGCAGGAATTGCCTGACATCAGGAGACACATCCTGAATGGGGATTACCAAGGCTGGCCTACGGTCAGATTGTTTTTCTGACATAACTTTCTCTCCCGCTTACTATCTATGTCTTCACTTATGATATTCCCACTTTTTGTTGCTGCTGTGGTTCATTTTCTTTTCTAATCTCAGCCCATCTGTGAATAAACTTCTGTTTCATCCCGAGTAAAAAAATTTCTTCCAGTTTCAGGGGTGGGGGTAGAGGTCAAAACAAAATGAAACGGAAAGCTGTTCAGATAACCCAGGAGGAATTTAAGACCCCTTTGTTATAACAATCCTTTTATGTTTGAAATATTTATTGGGCCTCTTCCTGGTCACGATCGGAAGGGAAACCTGAATTGGTGCCCTCTAAGCTGCTTGGGCGGACAGAAGAGTACATGTTTACAGTCAAGTTGGTGCTTGATCTTGGAATGACAGGAAATGATTTTGCAAATCCAGATAAAGTATTGTATCCTAGAAAGCATACCCGCCAAACACAGTTTAAAGTAAACACATAAGAATCCTTATGTTATGTCCCATGGGTGGAGTGGTGGGGAAACTAACGCTTCTCCATATTAAGGGCAATTTGGTGCAATAATTGCCTTTCAGTGAGGGACTTGTTTTGCCTGTGTGTCCTCTTGCAGATATAATCTTTTAGATTTTGATGATGGAGCAATGCATAATGAAATAGTGGAACTTGTCTGAGTGAATGAATGATTGAATGAATGAATGAATGAATGAATTAGATAACTCTTCACTCACCCAACAGCTTATGGAGTTTGCATCTTCATTCCAAAAGTTGTGAGTACCTTCAAGTGAATCATGAGAGACTTGATCTCCACTTTTGGTACTAGTTTTGTATTAGTTTGGTACTAGTTCACTTCCAGAGAGGTTGGAGCTGGTGTCTTAGTTCTGTTCCTCCATCCAAAATTATTTTAAAACTAGAGGCTGGGTGCACAAAATTCTTGCACAGGTAGGGTCCCTAGGCCTGGATGGCAGGCAATCAAGGCTGATCAGGTTCCCTGCCTCCCGGCCTCCCCATCTCCTCCTTCCCTCACTCCCTCAGTGCCCAGCTGCCTCTGCTGGTCACCGGCCACGTTCTGCACCACCCCCCTGGTGGTCAGCATCATAGTGAGTGATCGAGCTCCTGGTCTCCCGGTCAAACTCCTGAGGGGACAATTTGCATATTAGCCTTTTATTATATAGGATTATTTAAAGTTTATATTGATGAATATTATGGTATAAGATTATCTAGAAGTTTATGTAGATGAATATTATGGGAAATTGCCAAGAAATTTTTGGAAAAGATTAGGGAGAGGCATTTGCACCACCAGATTTTAAAATTTGCTGCAGAGCTAATAATTAGACAATATAGTATTTATATATAGATTAATAGAACACAAGAGTCTAGAACAGATCAGGTATATGTGCTGACTTTATATTGCTAAAAGAGGCATTTTCAATTGAAAAATTATTTAATAAATGTTGGTAGGACTTTTTGACTAGATCAGTTAACATCTAGCATATAGTGAGCATTTACTGTGCGCCAGAGACTATTCTAAGAGCTTTCCATGTATGAATTCAATTCTCATAACAGCCCTTTGAGATAGAAATAATTATTATCCCAATTTGCAATAAACAGAAACTCAGGGAGGGTTGAAAACCCAACTCACAGCTAATAAGTGGTGGAATCAGGATTAATACCTGGGCAATAAAATTAGATCATTACCTCATTTATGCTATATATAAACAGTTAAATTCCAGATGGATCCCTTTAATTTTGTAAAACACAATATTATGAGCTTTAAATATGGTAAGTATGTTTATAGTATAGAATGACAGATAATATACCACACTATTAACATGAGACATGCTTCATACACTTGAGTATCTCCAGGAACCAGGCTGAATATCAATGAAACAGTGTGGGCATTGGGGTGAAACATCTGCAGGAGTAATGATTATTGTTAGTATGAGGGTCCTAAGAAGGTGGCAGAGGATGGGTTCCAAAGCACAGAAGAACAGATTATTTTTAGATGAGAAGAAACAAAAATAGGACAGAAACAGATGTAGGTAAGTTAACATGTTAAATAAAGGGAGATGAGATATTCCAAATGATGGCTTTT